CCCTACCGCGGAGGGGTATACCGTGCACGGCGAAGAGAACGACTACCAGCCGCAGAGTGTGTCGACGCATCCCTCTTTTTACCCTTACATTTCGGCGTCCATGGCTCAACCGCCGTATTACATGGGACCCCGATAGATTGTAAGCAGAAGATGGGAGGCGACACGAGACAATTCTTCAGGATAGTCACAAGAATTTTCACAATGAGATTACTCGGTGCATATCGAATAAGATAAAATCGTTATCTATTACCAATCGAATAGAAAAGTATTTTTTTTATGAACAAATTGGTCGAGACAATGTTTCTGATAACTGAAAGCAAGTTCGTGTCATCCTCCCCTCTGACTGCGAATCGTGTTTCACTCGAGTCTTGATATTATGCAAGAATTTTGCAGCGACGTGTGTATGTATGTGTGTGGATATGTGTGTGCGCTTGGTAAACTTCGAGCGTAGACGATCGTTAGGATCCAGCGAGATTTAACTCAATCGGATATCGTGCGCTTAATGAAATTCTGTAAAGTACTTAAAAACGCGGTTGTTGTACTTAACAATAAATTGATAACATTAAATTGGTAAACTTTATTTTACAAAGCGAGATATATTGTTCGAGATCGCCTTGTAATTCTCTCTTTTTTTTAATTTATTCTTTTCTGTAAACTCTGTGAGACAAATAAAACAAATCTATCTAAGCACTCTTGAGTTATAAAGTTCAATATGTGATATTTAAGTTTTCCGAGACTATTTGCAGAAAAAAAAAAATAGAAAACATTTTAAACACAGAACTTACGAGATTCATAAATTACATAAAAAATTATAATAATGTATATATATTAATGTGTATATATTAACTAAAATGTGTCATCCCATAAGATTGCTAGTGACTAGGAGAAAAATTTAATCGCAATTGAGCTAAAATTATGAAAAGAAGGAAAAGAGGAAATATGCGAGTACATACAAGCGCCTCACACAAATCGTGTTTACATTGCGAGCGGGCGGAAAAAAAGGCAATCTAATATCACATTTGTCGAGACATTGACGGCAAGTACCGGTAAAGAAGTAACTATAATACACGCTACGAGATAATTACTAGGCTAATTATGTAATCATTAACCGAGCCAGCGGTAAATCGTCGATTATTACACCGAACGTGAACGTGTATGTGCGCGTGAGACGAATCCGCAACCAGGTACTTTTTTTAACAATAGATGATACTCCTTAATCTTTCTCCTTAGTCCTTTTCTAAACTGGAGTCGCGTCCAATAATAGTTGCTAATTCCTGCACCACGTTTCGATTCGCGTGCATGAACGCCTTCGCGTTCCAGATCATATGCACCAGTATTTCGTCGCTCTTCTCGTCCATGGCGACTTCCGTCGACAGCTGCGGATTGAATCTGTAGTATGGTACGCCGATCATGGAGCACCAGGTGCGAGCGCGATCGACCACGCGGCCATCGCTGGCTGTCGCCTGATCGACCAGCAGCGTGCCCAGCGCAGAAATACCGAACGCGAGCTTGGCGGTGTCCCAGAGACTCTCCGGCCGGAAAACGTCAATCTCATTCAAGGTATACGTAGTCGGTATGAGTCCCGTGCCGAGAGAGACCACTAACGACAGCGGTATCACCTCATTCTCGCGGTTAGTAGCCTTCAGCGCCAAATTGTACTCGTGGATCTCCGTCATGGCATCCAAGGTAGGATTGTTAGCGATCAGACCGCCGTCCAGGAAACGGCCAAATGCCCGAAAATACGACGGCGCCGCGCCAGTGGCCCTCGCCGCTTTCCAAAGTAACTGCTCCTGTGGCGATAATGTCGATTTGAACATTCCGTTCTCCGGTAACTTCAAGATCATACTAGGCGCCTCGTAATTGCGAAATAGATGAAGATCCACGGGCTTACGATCGGCGAGTACGCCCGTGATCATTATTTTTCGTTTCTGAATGTCCGCCATGACGGTGTGAGCGCCGAGGCACTCTTTCAATACCTTCTCCAGACCCTCGCTATTGTAAGGTCGCGAACCCACGAAAGCGTTTTCCTTGATACGAAAGTAGAGAGCTTGACATTCCCGTAGGGACTTACCCGCGGCGAGGCCAAGCGCCAGGATACCGCCGGTAGACGTGCCGGCTATCCAATCAAAGCACTGTACCACGGGTTTACGCAGCACCGATTCGATCTCCAACAGCGTCTGTATGAGCACTAATCCCCGAATACCGCCACCATCGAGACAAAGTAATCTACCGCCCTTGATCCGTTTATGGTTTCCAGACTCGGCCATCTTCTCCATGCCTGATACGTGAAGCATCTGATCGAGAATCGTGCGCGGTACATACTGTGGTGGTTCCGACGGTGCGATACCGGTGTAATTCTCGTCATGCTTGCAGCCAAGATGACAATCTTTCATCTCCGATGGACATCTTTGCGCGCCTACCGCATGCAGCAGGTAGATCATCTTGTTACCTTCGGTAGTATCAACATTCGCTTTGTGCCTAGGCGTTTCCGCCTTCCAGTTCCGCGCGTCGACGTCAGAGCCGAAGCCAATGAGCGCCTGTACGACGGCCGGTGTCTCTGCTTCCACCGCAAGATGCAGCGGCGTATTGCCGTCATTATCGACAATGTTAACGGACGCCATATGACTCAGCAAGGCGATCACGCAGGGCAGTCGTTTGCGCATCACCATTACATGCAGAGCAGTACGCCCGTCGAAGTTGAGCGCGTCGATATCGCAGTTGGTGTCGATCAGCGCCGTGATCACTTCGCGACTACGTGACCAGTGCAATGGTGTGCCGCCGAATTTCATGTCCTCTGCGTGAAGCACGTTCGGCTTGTTGTGTAAAAAATCGCCAACATAACCGGGACTAGAGGGCTGACCCTCGGAAGCAGATATGTTCACGTCGGCACCGATCAGTAGGAGCGCTTTTACGCATTCGGGCTTATCGTTCAGGCAAGCGACATGCATGGGGGTGTGACCGTTGCTGTTACGACTGTTCAAACTGTTTGGAAGACCCGAGCCCAGAGCAAGAATGATCTCTTTGGTGGATGTAGCTGCGTAATGATAAACCGTGTTCGCATTATGATCTAGATGTTCCAGCGAACTCTTCGCTGCTATCAGCATCTCGACGGTGCGCAAATTATTAGTTTGTACAGCGACTTGCAAAGGCGAAATACCAGTCTCTGAGTCCCCGCTGTTGAGCTGACTGTTGACGATCGCGTGCATGAATGCATCATGAAGAGCAAAGTAGGCTGCTAAATGTGCTAGAGTCCATGTAGGGTGTTCTACCAGAGTGTCGCAGAGTTTTTGAATTTTTCCAACATGGCACATCTTAGAGAAAAAGAATAAGATTAGTTGTTATCAATTATATAAATATAAAACTTTTTTTAAATAATAAATCATTTTTAAATTGTGTATGGAAGATAAATGTATAATATGGGAATATCATTTCTTTAAAGTACGCTGTATATAGATATAAACAAAATATGAAGAAACATTACCTCACGTACTATCTGCACAAGTACAGGGACTTTGTCTTTATATATTAAGAATCTTGTCTCTGCACCATCTAGAGTTTCCGATCGAAACAGACTGAAAACAAAATATTGAAAAGTCAAGAAGATATCAAAGTTTGGAAAATTCAATAAAAATCAACAGAAAAATGATAGATAATATAAAATAAAAACATTCTGCTATCGCTAGATAAATTCAAGACAAATATTGTTTTTATGAGCATTATCAACTTAAATGGCAATGTGACTGCTTCCAAGAAAACAATAATTACAATTATGTACAAAAAAATAATACGCACTTAAATATAATTTACTTGTTTTTTAAATTTTTTTAAAAGTTCCATGTATCCACAAGTCTGTCACAAGTTCATTATAAATACCAAATTTATTCAAAATATATTCAGAGTCCTAATAAGTAGACTGCAGATATTTATGCAAAATACTTAACTGAATATTAACCATCGGACAGTTTTAGCAGTCAATTATTGTACGTTAAAGAGTTATTAAAAAGTAAAGTAAAAAGGTTGAGATTGCCATCTGTAAATATGCAATTTATGTAAAATGTGCATTTTATGCAAAATATGCAATTTATGCAAAATGTGCATTTTATGCAAAATGTGCATTTTATGCAAAATGTGCATTTTATGCAAAATGTGCATTTTATGCAAAATATTCAGTTAAATATTTTGCACAAATATTCGCAGTCTACTAATAAGCAATTATATATTTCAATCAAGATTACTAAAAATAAATCCAAGATTTGCTTATTATAAAATCATTTCAATAAAATTCATATTCTTCAAAAGAAAATTTCTCGTTTTGAATACACAATACATTTTTCTAAAATTTATAATAAGTATATTTTAATACTATTATCAAGAAAATATTCTTTGTTAAAGATAATCATTACTTGAAAGAAAAAAAAGTAATTGACAATGAATACTCAATCATTTTTCTTAACAGTAGTACATAGAGAGAATTTTCCTTTAAAAACCCTGAAAATATGGTAGTTGTGGTACAATACGATATTTTAAAGATTTTTACCGTACACTTCAGTAAAATTAATCAAACTTATTTTATACTTTATTGTAGTTTTATTATTGAATGAGAGAGATTTACATTAAAATTCTTCGAAATACAATAATATCTCACGACTATCATGTTTTCAGGCTAAACTCTAAGAAAAAATTCTCTCCGTGTAGAATATTTTTCTGTGTGTAGTTATTTATAAATTTCAAATAATTTACAAAATAAATAACACAATATTCTTATAATTACAATATTCTTTCACGCCAAAATAATAAATCAATAATATAAAATATACCTGAATGCTTGATGTAAGGTCTCCGTGCATGGCCTGTGCAGGACGATCTCGTATTTGTCCTGATTCTTACCGCCAGGGCCGTAGAGGACAATGCCGTCCTCACGGGAATGTATATGCCGATTGCTGTACTGGTCCGGCCGCACCTCCTGGACGACGTTCGGCGGCGTGTCCGAGAAGACGATGTTCCGCAGAACGTTGTTTGCGATCGTGCCGAGCCAGGCCATGGTGGTACCGGCGCTGACTATGAGACGAGCGAACTGGAGCGAACGGGAATGAGACGCGGATGCTTCTACCGTGCGAAAACGTTACACAACTTCCCGTTACTCATTGTGTCGCAGAAACACAGCATGACAGTTCGCCCGTACTTTGCACTCTGCCTTGTTTCGTCTCGACTCCGTTGTTCGACCGTTATTTCTTCAGATGAATGACAGTTATGACAGTATGGATAATGACAGGATTGACAGGGAACAAGGTTAACAAAGTACAGGAACTGAACTTGGTATAGTAATGTCTGAGTAAAACCAGAGAGAAACCTGAGAGCGGCCATCCCGACCTTTTTCCTGTAATGCTTCTAACTCCCCGTACACTAGCGACACCCACGTGCATTTTCGAGACCCCCCCGTCTCGCCGATAAAATCGTATCGTCGAAAGTGGACGTGGTACACCACAAATTATATAGATGTGAAGAAAAAACTATTTTTCAACATTGTTGATAAATAAATTTACATTATGATGCTATACAGCCACGAATTGCAGATAAAGATAATATTATGCATATATGTGTATTTTATATATATATATATATATACATAGTGTCAAAGGCCGGTATTCATAGTCGATTCTTATTTCAAGATCGTCTTAAGTAATACCTTAAGACGCTAATGCAGCCCTCTGATTGGTTCGTGACTTCTTAAGACCGTACTTAAGACGGTCTTGAATATAAGATCTGACTATGAATGACCGGCCAAAAGTCGGGAAAACGATCGAATATCTCGAAAATAAAGCATTTTTGAGAAAAATGTTTCAGACAAAAGTTATAGGGTTTAAAAAAATCTATTCACTGATCACAGCCCCTTGACCTTGAGTGGCCAAGGCCAGGTCAAGGTCACATCGATTTTTTTAAATGGAATTCCCTATTTGTCATTACATATTCTTGTAGTTTATTTCGAGAACTTTTCAAAACGCTATAATAAAATTTTTTTTCATCAAATATTTTTCGAGTTATGAGGCTCGCAAGTTATATACCATCGGCATTATTCAAAATATTAAAACGATAACGGCTGAAACCTCTTGAATGTTGTTCAGAGTCATGATCTTAATAACATTTGTTAAGATCAAGGCCACTGGAGATTGTAACTCTTATTTTCCTCTCTGCACTATATACATATTCATGCATGAAAAATTTTTTACCGGGTATACATATATATACGTATATCAGAATTTTTTTTAGAAATTCAGAGAACATATAATTTTATAACATTTTAGAAAATTTCTCACATTATTTACAAATAGAAGTACTTTTCAGAAATGTTGAAAGTCTCTAATACGTCTTTCTTTTCATAAAAACTTAAAATCTGAAAAAGTCTAAGGTATTTTTTCATATATAATAGAATGAGATAGTTACACGTTTAATGAAATTATTTGAATATTTGGTATTTTTGGAGAGCGAGTTATTTTAGAATATATTCCGATGATGTACCAGATAATGCAATAGATCCATCTTTATAGAAATAAGTATCGTATGTATATTATTTTTGTTCTAATAAAATTTGAAATTGAATTTGATAATAATACGCAATAGTCCACTAACTATCGAAAAACGTAGTGTATTTTATTTATGCTACTTATGATATATAGGATTTTATCATTTTGTCATATAATTTATCGAAAATGGTGAAAAAGATAGTTTTTAAAATATTTGTTTATTACAAACTATAAAGTTTTTTATGTCAGTTGTACATTTATTCTTGACAGACGTAAATAAATCATTTACAGTACGATGACGTCGACGACGTTGTGATGCGTATTTCTTTTAGTTATATATTTTGTAAAAGACCCTGAAATAAAATATAAATTAAGATAAATGGTTCATTGTCTTAAGTAGAAAAGAAAGAAACCAAAAATTAGTCAGAAATAGGCTTCTATGATCTTCTATGATTCACCGTGTGGCTTTTTCCTATAATAGTTAAAATGTAAAGCGGGATAAAATGAAGGGGGAGGGGGGGGGGGAGATGTATGCCCTGGTGAACATTTTTCTTTTTATACGAATTGAAATATTTTATTCAGAAATACACTGAGAAAATTAATCTTGGAATTTTTTTTTAATTTGTGAATTCTGAAATACTTTTTGCTGTAGTTTTTATTATATATTACACTACTAGTTTATTGTTTTTCAGATATCATAGTACACTGTGTTCACAAGGGGAAGTCAAGGATGAGAGCCATCCTCTCAATCAATTATGTGAAACGTGGAAACAAATGCATTATCCACCTGAAAGTGCATCAATCATGTTGCTAGCAAGGATGGTTGCTGTAGTTAATCAAGCAAATGACAAGGAGGAAGCTTTAGCAATGTTTTCACAGTTTTGCCATCGTACCGTTTCCAATGACACGCACGAAATCGTACACTATCTATTAGGCGAAAAGTTTGTAGGCCAGATTGATATCCTTCAGCAAATGATGAAGGAGGCTCTTAACACCGAGTACACCACACATGTGTGTAATATACATGTATTATTGTTATATCTATGCTAATGTTAATTGGAACTTGTTTTTGGTGGTTCACGCCAGATGATTTTTGGAGTTTATTAGATTTAGTGGGAACAAACGGATAAAGAATTGGTTCTAGTTCATTCAGCCGGTGGGTAAAAAATGTTTCCGCTTTAGAATTGCCCAAAGATGAAAAAATTTACATTGACAAGTTGATAGAGAGAATTTATGACACAATGGACGAAGGTAGTTTTTATCTTTATAATTTATTTTTCTCAGTGTTCAATAAATATTCATATAATTTCTGAAAATTTCTTTCACAGCGGTAGGTCCGTTTCTGAATAATGAAGGGTCTGGACTCTACGTTCTACAGTCGTCAGTGAACCACAGTTGCATACCAAATGCAGTTGTTGAATTCCCTTATTCAAATAATACTTTAGTATTAAAAGCAATACGAAATATAAAAGTTGGTGAGGAAATCTGTACAAGTTACCTCGACGAATGCCAGCTCGAGAGGAGTAGACATTCCAGGCAGCAAGCCCTGAGCTCTTTGTATCTGTTTGTCATTGCGACAAATGTCAGGCACAAGCAAATGATCCTGATGTAACGTCTGACGAAGAGGAATATGACGAAGACTGATTAGTGCTAGCTGAAGATGCACAGGAACAATGATATAATTTTCATAATAAACAAGAGTTATATATTGAATAATATCTAATATTCCCTTGTCACACAACAATAATGAATCCCGTTACGCTTTACTTGACTATTATACATATGACACAAGTGAGCTTTATCAATAAAATAGCATGTAGGATAAACATTACACATTTGGACTTTTAACAAACTTACTTTATTATTGTAACAGAAGCTTTTAATGTCATTTCTATGTAATAAAGTTATATAATAAATTTAATACAATATTTTACACTCTTCTTTTATTTTTACTAATTTGAACTCAAAGGATTAATTATTAATTTATTTTAATTTATATTTTTGTTATTACTCTGTTGTTACAATGTACTATTTACGAATTTAAATAATATGTACATATGTTAAACTACAGTTCATGTGCAATTCAAATCGATCTATATAATTTTTCTTTCATTTATGTATGTAATTTTTTATATGATTTTGCACATTGTTTAGTAAATTAATATTAAACATTTTTACAGCTGATTTAAATATTTCAGGCACCGCATGCATGAAATATTTAAATCGGCTATAAAAATCGTTGCAATTTTAAAAAAGGAAATTAATTATTCTAAAGTCACAAAAAACGAAAATGATAAAAATAATATTGATCATATATGTATATAAAACGATATAACGGATCTTATATTACCGAGTCTTAAGTCTCAGTCATGTTCAAGTAAATTTGTGAAATTGCTTGAATGTGTGGCCGGCCTTAAGATGTCAATGTTTAATTTTGTTATTACAAAAAAATTCATACTTATGACTGAGCTTGTTGCTCAGTCTGAAGTGTTATTTCATTTCTTCCCGTTTTCATAAAATTAGATATATACTCAGGTAATGGCGGCATGAGCACGCGTCTTTCAACTAAGGCAGTTAAAAACTTACCCATGTTATGACTACGAAATTCCCAGCTAAAACAGAAGTTTCAAATTAAAATATACAAATAATGATCTCGGGTATGTGTAAAAAAATGTTCTTACTTCATGCGTATAGTATTATTAGGCAACTTCGAAGCTACACCGGCATGTTTTATAGGTTCCCTTGACCCTTCTATAACGAACTTCTCTAGAATTGGAGGATCTTTGCCGAAACACTGTTCTGCATATTTTTTCCGTTGTTCGCTCTGTGTATAATCCACGCCTTTATTACTGTAACAAGGTTTACATATTATATTGTAAAAAAAATAGTGTGTTGAATACAATTAATAAAACATCTCATAGTATATACATTGAGCGTCAAATGTATCTACAAAGAAAAAAACAAAATACATTTCAGGAATTACCTGATGACAGGTTCAGATGGTTGGTAAACAGGTGGTTGACTAATATCTTCGGCTTGTAAAACATTTTGTTGTTCAATCCATAATAATTTTATTAAAGATTTGAGGTCCTTGCCCATCAGCTTGATCCTTTTGCTATTATTATAACCTAGGTTGCTAGCTATCACTTTTAAATAGTCAATTGGTACATTCTTCTTTGAGCAAAAAAAATACTTTTGTTCGAAAAACAAGGCGAAATAGGTTGGCGTGATGTGTTGTACTTTCTTTTTCTTTTTCTTCTCCTCGACATATATAAACATGATATTGTCGTACATTATAGCTTTTATGTTCATCTTCAAACCATTCGAATGAAATTCCTCTTTGATACCTTCCTGTATCTCTTGTCTATCAAAATGCCTCAACTCTCTATTCAATCTTGACAATTTGTATCCGTACCACATTTTTCTATAGTTATGTCTGCTTACATCTAAAAGACCATTATTTCATAAGTTGACATTAATATTTCTCATAAATTTTATTTCAAGAATTTGAATTTAATCCGGAACTGACAATGGATCTATTGGACCCGCTCAATCATAAATTTCTTTCTCAAAAAATGTCAAATAATTCTTTGGCTGTGTTCCATTTAACGCTCACAACGCTTGTGGAATCATTTCATCTTTGTCGTTTATCAAATGTTAAACAAGGACAAACGATGTTTGCGAGCGTTGCAAACGTTAAGTGGAACGCAGTCTTTATGTTACATCTACAAATATATATATTGGGGTTACTCTTATTAAAATATACTTGACATTTTTTAATTCTTTTTTATGAGTTATGTCATTTTAGTTCCTTGAAATTAATTTTCTGCTGGCCAAGTTGAATTTTGAA